TCGCCCGGCTAGTTTTTTGTATTTTTTAGTAGAGACGGGGTTTCACCGTGTTCGCCAGGATGGTCTCGATCTCCTGACCTCGTGATCCACCCGTCTCAGCCTCCCAAAGTGCTGGGATTACAGGCTTGAGCCACCGCGCCCGGCCAATGGCATCTTATTTTTAAAGGCTCCACCCTCTACTGCTACCCAGTGATGCCCCGTGCAGCTAGGGCTGAGGCCCCATCCCATGCTGCTGCCTCCATCCCTCGCACCTTACCCAGTCTGTCCTCCTCTCCGCTGGGGTCCTCTGTTTTCAGGGCTGCATCATTCTCTCCCTGAGAGTTGGCCTAATTGTTGGGGCCCGAGTTTTCTCCAATGTGATTTTCCAGCCCTCTGTGCACAATTTTGAGGGTAACAACTCACTTTAGAAAGCCCCCTGCTGCCCAGCACGGGTGATGGAGTTGACACACAGGTTGTATCACACCGATGGATAGGATCTGAACCCTGATCAAGGTACCCAGGATCTGGGGGCCTGAGAGGGCCCTCCCAAAGGCAGCAGCTCTGGGGGCTGCTAGCCCTTGGACAGACATGACTAGCACCACAACTACCGTGCCAGCTCTTTTTTTGAGATGGAGTCTCGCTCTTGCCCAGGCTGGAGTGCAGTGGCGTGATCTCAGCTCACTGCAATCTCCGCCTCCCGGGTTCAAGCGATTCTTCCACCTTAGCCTCCCAAGTAGCTGGGACTATACAGGTACACACCACCACGCCCGGCTAGTTTTTGTATTTTTTTTTTTAGAAGTGACAAGGTTTTGCTCTGTTGACCAGGCTGGTCTCAAACTCCTGACCTAAAGTGATCTACTCTTCTCTGCCTCCTAAAGTGCTAGGCATGAGCCACCACGCCTAGCCTAGACTTTATTTTTTAAGCAGTTTTAGATTCACAGCAAAATTGAGTGGAAAGTACAGAGATTCCCCATCCACCTTCTGTCCCCACCTCCACCCCCACAGTCCCCCACCAGAGTGGTACATCTGTTACAGTCAATGAGCCTACAGTGCATACGGTCATCACTCAAAGTCCATAGTTAACACTGGGGTTCCCTCTCGGTGTTCATTCTGTGGGTTTGGAGAAATGCATAGTGACATGGATCCGCCACTGCAAAACCACCCAGAGTAGCTTCACTGCCCTAACAATCCCCTGGGTTCTGCCTCTTCATTCCTCCCTCCCGCAGCTCTGAAAACCACTGATTCTTTTACTATCTCCAAAGGTTTGCCTTTTTCAGAATGTCACATAGTTGGAATCATACAGTATGTAACCTCTTGAGGTTGGCTTCTTTCCCTTAGTAAATATGCATGTAAGTTTCCTCCACAATTTTTCATGGCTTGATAGCTCCTTTTTTTTTTTTTTTAGTGCTGAGTAATATTCCTTTGTCTGAATGTACCACAGTTTATCTATCCATTCACCTACTGAAGGATGTGTTAGTTGCTTCTAAGTGTTGGCAATTATGAACAGAGCTGCTATAAACATCCCTGGGCAGGCCTTTTTGTGGACAGAAGTTTCCATCTCATTTGAGTAGGAACCGAGGAGCGTGATTGCCACATCGTCCGGTAAAAGCGTTTAGTTTTGTAAGAAACTGCCAAACTGGCTTCCAAAGTGGCTGTACCATTTTGCATTCTCGCCAGCAGTGGATGAGAATTTCTGTTGCCCCACGTCCTTGCCAGCATCTGGTTGTCAGTGTTCTGAATTCTGGGTCTTCTAATAGCCATGTAGTGGTATCTCACTGTAGTTTTAATTTGCATTTCCCAAGTGATACACGATGCAGTGTATCTTTCATATGCTTGCTTGCCATCTGTCTGCCTTTTTGATGAGGTGTCTGCTCAGGGCTTCCTTCCATTTTAAAATCAGGTTGTTTATAATTTAATTTGCTAAAAAAGTTTTCTCATGGTAAATAGTCTTTAAAAAAATAGATTGTTCTCAGCTGGGCGCAGTGGCTCATGCCTGTAATCCCAGCACTTGGGGAGGCCAAGGCGGGCGGATCACCTGAGGTCAAGAGTTCAAGCCCAGCCTGACCAACACGGTGAAACCCCGTCTCTACTAAAAATACAAAAATTAGCTGAGCATGGTGGTGGGTGCCTGTAACCCCAGCTACTCGGGAGGCTGAGGCTGGAGAATCGCTTTAACCTGGGAGGCAGAGGTTGCAGTGAGCCGAGATCACGCCATTGCACTCCAGCCTGGGCGACAGGAGCGAAACTCTGTCTCAAACAACAAAAAAAAGAAGATTGTTCTTTTGGGGCAAAACTCACCTTGCCATGATTACTGGCTAATTCAGTATTTATGCGCAGGGGGCAGAATATTGTCCCTATTGGAAATATGTCCAGAGAGGTTGGATAATTTTTCCTGCTACCACCAAGGCCTTGGAAGAGGGACGAGGGTTTGCCTCCTGGCAATGCCAGATTGCTGCTTGTTTATTTTAAAAGGGAGAATTGAACATCATTCTCTTCAAATGTCCTTCTGTCGTCTATGTGGAACTTCCCAAAATGAGCATGTCGAGGGACAAGGGATGGTAAGGCGATGCCACACGTGACATAGTTTGCTGTGTCCTTGGAGGTGGAAAGGGCCCCCAGCAGGGAGTGAAGGCAGAGTCCCCACTTGGGCTTTTTCTGGAGCTCTTCCTGGGCCCATGGTAGACAGAGCTCACCAACCAGAGACCCTCCCAATCCTCCGTAACACAGGGTTCCAGGCAGCTACTAGCAGGCGATCAGGAGTGGCAGGGAGATGACACCGTGAGCCAGCCCTGGCCTGAGTGCGCTCAAAAACACCCCACCTCCCCCCTTTAATTTTTTAAGACATAGTCTCTGTCCGTCACCCAGCCTGGAGTGCAGTGGCCCCATCTTGGCTCACTGCAACCTCCACCTCCTGGATTCAAGCCATTCTCCTGTCCTCAGCCTCCCAAGTAGCCAGGACTACAGGTATGCACCACCATGCCTGGCTAATTTGTGTATTTTTAGTAGAGGTGGGGTTTTGCCATGTTGGCCAGGCCGGTCTCGAACTCCTGACCTCAAGTGATCTGCCTGCCTCAGCCTCCCAAAGTGCTGGGATTATGGGCATAAGCCACCGCGTCCAGCCCTTCAGAAGTCCCTTCTGACTTTGACATTCTGTGCCGGCTGCCTCCTGGGGAGGAGGTGAAGGCAGACTCTTGTGCTCAGCAGGGAGGCAGTGTGGTTCAGGGGTTAGGAGCTTGGGTGCTGGAATCTGGTGCTTCAGGATGTGGATGAGTCCCAGTTCTTCCACCAACTGACTGTGTGGCCTTAGAGAAGTCACTTGACCCCACAGATCCTGTTTCTTCCTCTTGTTGATACTTGCTTCCTGGGTTTGCAGGAGTGAGGATTCCTCCAAGCTCTGTGTGTGTGTGTGCGCGCGTGCATGTGTGTGTGCACGCGTGCGTGTGTGTGTGCGCGCGTGCATGTGTGTGTGCGTGTGTGTGCGCGCGCGTGCGTGTGTGTGTGCGCGTGCATGTGTGTGCGCGCATGCATGTGTGTGTGCGCGCGTGCGTGTGTGTGTGTTTAAAGTGCCTGGCACATAGGGGAGTCCATGGGGGGCAGTGGAGGGAGTCCCATACAGAATAGTGATAAACACTGTGGTGTGTGCCATGACCCTGGTGTTCCAATGAAGGCTTCATGGCTGGGCCAGGCCTCTGGCCCGGGAGATTCAGCCACCGGCTCCCCTCTCACCAGCCCCCCAAGCCCCACCTGCCTACAGCTTCCAGATGAAAGGGCTCACCCTGGAGGAGGAATGGGGCGAGCTGCAGGCCGGCTCAGAGTGGTCTGGGGACAGGGTCCCAGTACCCACTGATGAATTTTTTGGGGTCACCTAGCAGTCCAGGGAGAACCCCAACACCCCACAGGCAGGTGGCCGGACCTGGCCAAGGCCAGGGCCTCATGAAGATTCAGGGTCATTCTAGAAGTTCTAGGAGGATTATTCCCTTCTCCACTCCACAGTCCGTGAGTGTGGATAGGTGGCCTGTAATCAACACCCCCTCCAGAGGTTTCTGGCTAAGGGGGACAGAGGAGAGGCCATGGAGGAGAAGGAAAGGTACGAGGACAGAGTTCTGTGACCCGAAATTGCCACCAGCTCTCTTTAGCCCCAGTGGAAACTGTCTTTTCAAAGAGACAGGCTGCGGAAGTGGCAGATGCCTTGGAGAATCAGCTTCCCTCCAAATTCCCGGTCTCTTGCTCCGGGCTTCACTTGACCAATGTGCTTGTTTGGTTTGGTTTTTCTACACCCCATAGCCTTGTTGGCTTACCCCCTTTTCAGGCCTGCTGGGGAAGGGCCCAGTCTTAGCCTGGCACAGAGCTGGGAGCTGGACCGGGAGCCCCCAGCTGGCAGGCACCTCCCTTTCCTGCCCCACGCTGCTCTTCCTCCAGGCCCCCGCCACCCCAAACCTTTAACAGGAGACGTGGCTGGAAAGTCAAAAGGACTGTCCTGCTGCTTTCAGATGCCTGGCCACATTCACTAGGCCATTATGGGCCTTATTACCTTTAGGCTGGGAACTTTTTAAAAGTGAGTTTGTTTTTTTTTTTTCTAAAATCCAGAATTTCTGACAGCCCAAGTTAACAAGCCCCCCCAAATGAATTCAGAGAGCATTAATAGGAAAGTTCTAAACAGAACCGCTGCTGTCATGTAAGCAGCTCAGAAAAAAAACTCTTCTCCCATTTTAAGGGTGAGCATGGCACTTTGATGTGGCCCCATTTCCTTATAAAGCCCCCTCTGAGAAGGCGGAAAGCTGAAGTTTAATCTGGAGCCAACAAATTACTTGCAATTTGCAAGCACACATGCTTAGCCCATAGGGGCTAAAGTCCACAGTAAAAGAAAGAAAATGAAAGAAAAAAAAAAAAAGGGTAGGGGGCTCAGAAAGAGAGGGAGGAAGGCAAAACCCACCTCCACTCACCAAATGGCTAAGACTCAGATGTATTATCATGGAATCTAGTGTGGGAGGTCCTAATGCTCACAGCTCCCTTTTCAAAACCAAACAAGCCACACACCCCTGAATAGTAGAATGGTACTTCTAAAGCAGGGCAGCTTGGCTGGGCATGGTGGCTCACACCTGGAATCCCAGCACTTTGGGAGGCTGAGGCGGATGGATCGCTTGAGCCCAGGGGTTGGGGACCAGCCTGGGCAACATGGTGAAACCCCATCTCTACAAAAAATACAAAAATTGGCCGGGCGTGGTAGCAGGCGCCTGTCATCCCAGCTACTCTAGAGGCTCAGTTGGGAGGATCGCTTGAGCCTGAGAGTTCAAGGCTGCAGTGGAGCCCAGATCGCGCCGCTGCACTCCAGCCTGTGCCACAGAGTTAGACCCCGTCTCGAAAACAAAAATAGTAATAATAATTTATATATAGATATATATTTTAAAAAGCAAATCTAACCTCGGTTCCCGGTTTGATAAGGGGTGGATTCCAAATAAGCAGCTGTCTTGCCGCCTTGCCAAAGGAAAGGAGATGCCCAAATTCCTGCAGAGTCCCCACAAAGCCTCACTTCCCCCAGATGCTCGGGTAGGAGGACCCTCACTAAGGGATCAGGGTTGCAGGTGCAGAGGGGCTCCCTGACAGAGGGCGGGCAGCGGAGGGGCGCCCCGGGTGAGGTGACCTTGAGTTCCAGGTGTGTGCGTTAGCAGTTGAGGAGGGAGTGTAGCGCGGACCCTCCTGGGGCCGGAATCCGGTAGACCAGCTGAATGTCTGCTCTGCAGCTTTCTCGCTGTGTGACTTTGGGCGACTGACCTCCCTCCCCAGTCTCGATTTTCCCGGCTGTGAAATGGGGACGGTAGCAGCAGTACCTGCCTCATAGGGTTACCGTGTGTGAAGACACGCCCATAGGCGCCCGGCCCGGCCTGGCCCTTAGCCTTGGCCTTGGCTGGCGCTGGGCACGTGGGCACTGCCTTTGTCACTAATCGGGGGTTGGATTCCCCTGCACTCGGTGCCAGGATGGGAAAGAGCAGTCAGTCCTGGCTCCCACCCGGGACCTGCCTGGAGAGCAGGGGTGGAGGGGGAGGTGTCTGAGTTGCAAGGAAGGCGAGGAGGGAGCGGGCTGGGCTGTGGGGGAGAGCTGCGCCCCGCTCCCCCT